ATAGCTGTTGAGAGCAGATACAAGTCAGACATAAGACAATAAGAAAAAAGAAAATCTACTTTTCTGCACTTGTAAAGGTATTTTGGGGCAAAAAACCCATCCTTCTCATAAGCCCTGAAAAAAAGAATCTATAACCAGGGCAATCTCTTCAGACACTCTGTCTAGAGCAGAAAGATGGACTGAAGCTGGGGAGTGCCTACCCAGCTAAGAAGAAAGCCGGGGGTTCTTGACATCTGAATATGCTAAGTGGATTTGTTATAGATTCCCACTCAGGCACTGAACTGTGACAATAAGCAGGATGTTCAACTGAGACAGCCAGAATCAGGAAGTTCAAAGCCTGGCTGGGATGCCACAGGATGTGTTTGCTTACTGAATCCTGCACCAAGAGACACGATTTTAAAGTATTGTATAAAATCTGCTGTGTTTAAGGGCACTTCTTGTTATTCCATGGAAACCCACTGCTTTTGGGATGGGGACAAAGCAAAAGCCCATCTCTGCATGGAGCAGGCAGCGAGCTGGGGGAAGGTAAGACCAATGTCTCCATTTTCCAATGACCTAAAGTTGCAAGGCACGTCAGGTTTGGGGTTAACACATGTCCTACGTGAGGACACGCTGAGCTTTTTGACCCATATAGAGACTCTAACCTCAGGTGGGTGAATCTGGTGCAAAGACTGCAGTCCATGTACACCTGACATTTGGGTTTGTCTGTTCTGTTCAGTGCCGGAGGACCCAAGGGTAGGCTAAACCACGTTTTCCTTAATCTGTGCTGTTTGCTTGCCCTGCCAGCAAGAGAACATCTTTAGTCCAGCACTAGCTACATTCCTAGTACTTTGCAGGATGTTGTATCAGTCTCCTCTAGACAGAAGCTTGGATTAATTTCTGTCCCACACTGGCTAGTGAAACACATGGCTGCACGTACAGTGCAGTATCCATGCCGGTGAGGAGGCCCAGGAATGCCTGTGTCCTCCATGCACAGACAGGTGTGCATACAGACCCATGGCTAGAGGGGGTATCAGCACAAGCTTTCCTAACCACAGTGCTCCACAACTACCACTCAGCCCAGAGCTCTACAAAGGGCACTTTGCGCTGGCACGAAATGCAGGTTCCTACCTGTGGTCTGAACATTTCCTCCATCTTTGTTGAGTGGCTAATCACCTGATGATTTCCCTGAACAGAGCTCTAATGTTGGTTGTCACTTCTTGGGTGGGGCCACATGACAACTCACAGCTGTGCAGCACAGCTGGGAATTGGAAATCCCCTGCAATAACTTCCTTCCGCCTTTTCACAGAACAGTCAAAAACATTTTCCTTTTCCCTGAACAGCATGGACAGGACACAGTGTGAATCTGCTGTTGTTCTCTTTTCATGAACAGCAGGGCACTCATACCTCTCCTAAGCAAACATTTCCATGGCTCAATCCTGCAGGGCAATAACAATCCCTGCTCTTTGCCACATTGCCACCACCTTCATTTTCAGGGCTTATGAAGGAGCAGTTCCATCACTGGGCTCATCCTGTGACCAGCTCCATGTCAGTCTGTGGTTCTGGGAGCACTCTGTGTTCAGCAAGGTTCAGCACAGGATGCTGCTTTGCCCTTCTGCCTAGAAACCTGCAGCACTGCAGAGTGCAAACCACAGAGCAATTTCCCCATCCACACGCAAGATTTATATGGCTTACTTTCCTCTTCTTAAATCTCTCCTAACAAAGCTTTGTTCAAAGATGATTCACAGATGTTGTCATTAAAAAGTTGGTCCTTGCCAAAAAATAAATATGGGCCTGCTTGAGAAACTGCTGTTCCCACAGCTTTCCCCAAGAAGAGATACTTGTGGTAACCGGTAGGGCCTGTGAGAATATGACATTTTAAAGTATCTTAAACCATACACAGCTTTCGAAAAGAATGCCGGTTTCCTGAGAATTTATCTCGTAAAATCATTTGGATAAACCCACATGATAATTAAGCCCATTCTGATTGAAGAAGTGATCTTTTTAGATAACAATCAAGCAAACACTTATTTGTAACAAAGAGATAAATAAAAAAACCAGCACTAAATACTGTATCTTAATTAAAGATTTAAAATAAAATTATTAACTGCTATGCAGGCATGATTCTCAAGGACTAGGAGGTGACAAACAAAAGGACAGGATCGTACTATCCAATGCAGGATAAGCTGACATATAGAGATGGCAATCCCCAACCAAACAACCACCAAACCCAAAAACCAGGGAAAAGGATATGAACAGTGACCTGGCTGGAATCGGCATGCACAGAATCACTTACGTGTTTACCTACCCAGGACATACTGGAATCTAAAACCAAGAAGCCTGGCCCTCTGTTACCAGCTTGGAAAAGCCCAGTGGGGGACAGCAACATATCCTGTCTGGGGAGAGCTTTACTAATAGTTACAAGCAGAAACACTTAGACAATGGAAACCCAGATATTGACAAAACTCCTGGCAATTTATTGGTAAAGAAAAGGTAATTTTTATTCTGGGAGTTGGAAAGAAATGAGTATTCAGTAGGTTTTCAAAAACTAAAAGCAATCTGAGTCTTTTGCAATGCTCTTAAGTGGTAAATATAATTTTCATGTAGGTTTCAAATTAGTGACAGATGTAGTGAATTTTTATTACATTTTAAATTCAGCATTTTACCCGTTGACATTGAAATCCTTTCCTCTGTCTTCTGTTTTTCATGGACCTGTTGTTAAAAGCACGACTGCTCTGCTTTTATTCCTTTTGTTCTGCTGCATGACTGCATGCTAAACATGTCCTGATGAGCTCGGTGGCATTTTAGAGCCCTTGTTTGTGTCTCACTCATACCTGCTGTAGTCAGTAAGGATATTCCCACTGACATCACCAAGCTTCAAATCAGGGGATTTGGGATTTGATTTGGGATTTAACTTTAGCTTCATTCGTATCTCAATTCACTCTGTGTTTCAGGCAAGCAGGGAATAGGCAATGTTGTCATGTTCCACTTCCACAAAATAATGGTTAGACGTACTTGACGGGTTTTAGGTTTAGGAAATAGAAGTTCACAGGCTGAACAATTGCAAACACCATCTAACAGACATGCAGCAGGAGGAAATTCAACTAATCTGATGTTTGTTATTCTTTAACATTCTATTAAAGCAAAGCAGCTCTATAATGAGATTACTGCATTTTATCTTTTAATTGTATCCAGATATGCAAAAGAGATTTACTGCTAATGGCTTGTGTACAGTACAATATTTTAAAGCTAATTATGATACAGCATTACTATTGTCACACAATGAAATACTTATTCTTCTGTTATGAATCAATACCATTTTCTAAAATTTATTGTAATTACCTTTTTAATTGGATATACACCCTGCTAAATTCTGAAACAGCTAGTTTTGGAGATATAATTCTTTTAAATCCAGGATGATATCAGCATAAAGTATTTTAATTAAATAGATTGCAATAAAGGGGCAAAAGAGACATTAAGTAGCTTTCCATTATTAAAGCCAGCTGAAAGTCAAGTCTTCAAAGTGTTCAAGTTTTTATTTTTGAATGCCTGAACTCTGCCATAGTCCCTGTAAGCATGCACACACATCCTCCCAGAACACTGTATTAACAGACTGATTGTTCAGTGAAGAGTAGGTAGCACCTGGCTTTGGTTTGTATTACTCCATATAGAGAGGAAAGCCTATTAAAGTATTTATCCCTCCAAATCCCCAAGGCCTAAAACATCTAGCAATCTTTTCATTGCTTATGGATGTAATACACTACAAATAAAAAAGTTGAGTAAATAGTTTTAAAATAACATTGTGTCACAGTTCTTCTGCTCAAAAATATTGGTGAGCAGATGATGAAAACCTCTACTTGATCTGTTAGTTGCAATTACTTAACCATTTTTAAAAACACTGTCCCCACATAATGGTACCTCATGTACTCTGATCATAATGCCATCCACACAAATTAAAATTCAAGTAGTTATAAGCTGGTGCTGCAAATTAGCTGTAACAGTTTGCACATGTTTCAAAGTACACATTTAAGCTTTGTTTCCCTGAGCAAATACTCACAGGAGGAACAACTGAAGTCTTGACTACAGGCTAATCACTGCATGTCTGCAAATCTTACCTGAGTATGGGATATCTTTCCTCCCCTCTACTCTGTGGCAGAGGGACAAGGAAAAGGCCTTTGTTTATCTCAGCAGCAGTTTAAAACTTACCTGAGTTTCAGCTATCTCAATAACTATTGCTTTTCAACACTCTTACACCTGTATTTCATCTACTTGCACATCCAATCCACATTATATTGACAGACACTATGGCAATTAAAGCAGTTACATTTTGATGAGCTAAAATGAATCAGAATTTACAGATAGGAGAAACCAATAATATCAAGTATTCGGAAACACTTTACTGAGTTACTAAAAGGATTTAACTGCATATTATAGTGGCAGTATGTTGGTGGAAGTTGAGTTAGATTCTGATGCTGATTCTACACTTGATGACATATTATCCAAGTAATTCAATGAATAAATATTGCAGAATGCATATCTGAGACTACCAAGAAATGTCACTTAACCACTAGAAAGAAAATCCCACAGTATTTCATGTGTTTTTTCAAGAACGTAGACTTTCAGTCAACTCTGTTCGGATCATCCTTCGGCATCATTATGCAATAAATAAATATTTATGTTAACACTTAGTGCACTCCGTAAGGACGTCAATTTTCTATTTATTTGAAGAGCCCACAATATCTAGGAAGGCTCTTCAGTATTTCTGTGATCTAGGTCTCATTGCAGATATTATTCATTCTAAATTTAAGTCTTTTATCTGCATGCAAAGTGTTAAATTATATTGGGTTACTGTCTGTATCATTCTATTTTTACTGCAGCTCTTCACAGATTAAGATTTAAATCCTTTGAATTTAGTAGGATTTTGACAGTAATTCAAGCAGGATAAGTCTGAGCTCTGTCCGTCTAATTGAGACATTTCTGAATTCCCAAGCTCTGCAAGCACTAACAGAAACGGTGTTTACCTGCTGTGGGAATCCTGTCCCCGGATCCTTGACAACCATCCTCATCATCACAATCTCCGCTCGACTCCACCTCTCCACTTTTTCCTCCCCCACTGCCAGCGTCTCGGGAAGCCCATCTTTCCAGTTTCAATTTGGCCTTCTCAGCATCCAGCTGAAAACAGAAGAAGAAACAAACCAACAATGGTCAGAGTATTTACACAGCTCCCACCTCTGGTCACCATCTGGTTCATAAAGCAACAAGCACTTCTCACTTTCTCACTCGCTTTCAAGAACAGGTCCTCCAGTTGGAGGTTCTTCTCAGCAATGACATCCAAATATTTTGGAACAGCAGACTATACCATCAAATATTCTTCACCACAGATGACCAGGGGCACTTATCATCAAGCTTTTAACTGAAAACATCACATCTACCACTATCATCACAGGGAGTGCTGTTCCTACAGCTTTTCCTCTTGGAAACCATAGTTGGGAGATCATTGGTTAATGATGGTACAATGTGCCAGCTGTCCTAGGACATATTTTGAGGGTTTTTTTACAGTTGAACACCACAATATACTTTACAACCTTTGAAGAGTTGAAAGCATTTGCTACTTTTCATGATGGACTTGGTCACTTGGACACCTTGGCTCCTGGATATGACTTTTAAGATGGTGCCATTTAAGATGCCTGTACCAACTGCAAGTTGTTCTTTAAATGCCACTTGAAATATATTTCTAGGACTGAGCACAGAATAAGAAAACCTTTTCTAGAATAAATCTAAATGGATCATACTAGGTCACACTTGCTCTAACAACACCCTTACTCCCCAAACTCAGCTTTTTGATCTTTAGATAACTCTTTCTCCTGCTGTCACCATGAATTATTAGCACTGTGGGAATAAATGATTTTTTCAGTTCACTGGTAGTTCCAAAAGATGAAAAATCCCGTTACACTGGCAGTGAATCTAAATCTAGCCTGTGGAGAGCACATCAAGAGCAGCAGTATTTGAGAAGAAAAAAAGTAACTGCCTTAGACTAATAAATTCTGTTATAAGGCAAATATTTATCAGGCAAGGAGGATTCAAGAGAAACCTGAACCTTTCCCCCACAGCTGAGGAGCACCGACCAAATGCAAAGACTTTGTACTGATTCTCAAAGACTCTGTACTGCTGTCAGATTCTGGATCTATCCAATAACCTTCATCATAAGGATCTTCCTCCCAAAGTATTGCAGATACATTGCAGGCTTTGTGATCTGCTTCATCTTGGAGGACTGATTGTTCTTGGTACTGAGCAAAACATATTTGGAAATGTAGCTACTTTGAAGATTCAAACACATTTCACATGGAAAAGGCTGAGAGCTGTGGGAGGAACTGGAGCACAGGGCTAATACAACTTTATTAACCGGGCTGAAAGGATGATGATAGATGCAGCAGTTTCTCTGCAGTGGGAAGTTTTGTGTGATAGTTTCCTTCTTCAGATGCTGTGAGCTGCCATCCTCCACTCTGGGCTGACAAATGCTTGGATCAGTGCAACAAAGATCCTGTTCTGTGGAACAACAGATACCAACTTCTATATGCCAGAACTCAAGAAATTTTTCACCCTTTCACTGAAGAGATCTGTTTGCTCATTCTGAAGACACAAATAGCTTCCCATAGTGCAGTGGGAGGAGAGGGTGGGGACTCTAGTGGAGACTCTCTAATTTTACTGCATGGCTGTTTTTCATAAACAAGTTGCCTAATGCCGAGCCTTGTTATTCACAGCCTAACGACTGATGCCATGGCAATACAAACCAACATTTTGTTAAACAATTGGAAAAATTTCCCTATGAGGGAGAAAGATAGCTCAGTTCTTTCACAGATTTATTACGTCTTGACTGTATTAGAAAAGACTCATTCATTCTTAGTTATAAGTCTTCAGAATGAAAAGAAATGGTTAAGTGGCAAACAGAATGGACACAAAATTTAATAAAGGTTTTTAATGACTGCTTGTAAGTCAGAGCAGGAGTGTTTACTCCCTGTTAAGATACTCTTTCTTTTCAAAAATTTGATTTCATTCATTGCCCGTGGCTCAAATCCTGACTCCTGCTCCAAACAAGTAATACTTGAACCAAATGGGCACCACCTCCAAAAAGGAAGCTGAGCTTTCCCACATGGTGCACTGCAGCAGTTCATATGCTTCTGGGTTCTTAGTGCCTCCACTGCAGCAAGAGATGAGTTGTAGCTCAGATCTGCATCTTCCCTGGATTACTGAAGGTGCACCCACCTCTTTTTTGGCCTATTAGCAGAGACTTCCACCAAATTACACAGAGCCCTTATATACAAGTTCAGTATCACCATATCATCACTGAACATCAACTCAGGTACAGGCTACCAACCCTTTTCACCTTCTATACCCTTTCCCAACCTCTACCAACAACTTTTCTGTCCTGTGGCTGCCATTTACCTGGAATGATGGACCAGAGCCCAACCTTCTGCACTGATACAGTGCAGCCACTTTAGTGAGGAGCTCCAGACACACCATGCAGCTCTGCTAAGAACGGAATGTCACCATTTCATAGTGACTTGTGATCCAGCATCTTTCTCTTTTCCACATTCTGAAGGAACACTTGTCCTTTGGCTACCACCACAGTATTTTAGTAAGACCATTGTTTTATTGTGATAGCAAAGCTTACAACAGCATGTCTCCATCTCCTTTTTTCACAGAATAACAGAAACCTTTCTCAAAAGGTCTGAGACTGCACCAAAATACCACAGATTGCATCAGGATGGACTAGGATATCGTTACAGAAGCCATTAACCTTAATTTTTTACTCTACAGGTCCCCAAGATGGCTGTGGGTAGGGAACTGGAGATCATCTGAAGGTTCAAGTCATCTTCAGAGACAGCCAAATTAAAAACCCTGAACAATTCTCCAGGCTGCTGTCACCAATCACTAAAGCTTTCTGCTTGCCCACAGATGGCTACAGAGAGAACGACAGTCCCTTGCTCATATTTAACACTGGAGAGCAGAGACTGGAGTCAGTCGTGGCATTTCTATCATTGCTTAAAAGCCACCCTTAAAAAACCTTATTTTGCTGACTTATACCCCCCTGCTGATGCATAATGCCATCTACCCATCTCTGGCAACACTGCACAACAGCTCCAGCCTGGGAGCGCTGTGTTTTGATGATGAGAATTGATGCCTTGGTTAAATAATTGCAATGAATTTCAGTCTGAGCACTGGAGCTTGTGTCTTTACCTTCACAAAGCAGAAGGTATCTGCTGCCTAAGACTCCAGGGTATACTGGAATCTTAACAGCTTAAAAATTAAGTCTCAAGTTTTTGCCACAAGTAAAAGGTAATTTTTTTCCTCTTGAAAAAGCTGTATAAATAGATCAATAAGATTTGTACAGCCCAACTGAAAAACAACTCAAATCATGAATTTTCCCAGCTGCAAGAGGCTTTGTATCAGGTTCATAAACCTCTAAAGCGTTTCTGAGAAACTATATACAGTGTTTCTGTGAGAAATCTTTAATATCTGGCTCAGCTGAAAGGTAAAAATCACATATCACTATTTAGCTCTGAGTCAGATACAGAAAACTCTCCACATGCATTTTATTTATTCCAGCAAAGGTCCCAACCTTAAGTGACATTAAAAAGAAAAAAAAGTTCTGCTGACATAAGGTCTTCTGGAAAAGAGAGAATTCATATGAGAGTGGCTCCTGTCTATCTCTCCTATTAATAGTTGATGATGTAGCACACGCATTCCCAGTCACATGACAGAGTCCTTCAGACTTCAGAGGCTTCAAAGAGTCTGTGACACACAACCCCTGAGCTTTCTACAGTAAATTTAACCCTAATTCTCACTCTGACCTCGCATGTGTTAGAATATATATTCATTCTCATGAAGGCACGTTCCAGTTGAACACTGCCACACGTTAACAATATAATATCTGTTTCCCTCCATGAAAACCATTCTTTAAAAGTGCCAATTTCTACCCATTTCATTGATCAGTCTATTTTCTGAAGGGTCGTGTGTATCTGAGAGGATGACTTCAAACTGCGGATAATAACCTCATTTCATCAGAAAATAGGTTTTAAAATTATATTTTGCACCACAGTTTCAGATTTCTCAGGCTAGTAAACATAACAATGAAAATCTAAGAGAATACTCTTTTTAAATGAAGCCACTTAAAAGTTGTGTGCTTGGAATATTCAGAGACAAATTCCATATAATCATTGCTCCCAAGGGATTTGTTAATTAAGTTTTCAACATGACTGATTATGAATGCTTTTCCTCTCTGAAAAGGCAGCTATGAGGTGAAATTTGCCTTGTGTCCACTCATCACGTGAGCACATGTATCACTTGCTGGTGTTTCCACTTTGATTAAGAAATGGCCGTTTATAGGCTGCATTTAGAAAATCTAAGCTCAGAATGATCTTTTCTCAAGGTACTTACAAGTAGCTGCCTTTTTAAAAGGGCTTTAGTGACATAAATATGATCTGCAGAGACAAAGCGTTTTGCCAGCTTATGAACAAATAATGCACAAAGACTAATCTTGAAAAGAGTAATAAATGACTCAATCCTTCCATTCATTTTTTCAAAAATAAAAATAAAAAATCCTTTCTAAACCATTATTAGGTCAGAAATGACTACAACTGGAAAAGACAATGTGCCTTTGTTTCTGGCCTCTTATATACATTTTTTGTTAGGAACTGACATACTGCCTTAGGCATAAAGCTGCCTTTTACTGGTGCCTTGTGACTGAGCAGATGTTCTGTCATTTCACAAAACAATAGCAACATAACAAATTTTAGACATAACTGCCATATATATATGCTTATTCCAAGTGGGATCTCTCCTTTGAGATAATGTTTATGGTTAATTTTCCTCCACATATGCTCTTACCTCCTTTTTAAAAGCATCTGGCAGTTGCTTTTGCTTCTTCTTCTCATGGTTATCTGGTGTTCATATATTACAGCATAAATAAGGAAAATAAACTTATTTAGCTTCAATTTTGTCAGACATTCCCTTTGGTTTGTTTTTTCCTTGGTCTCTATTTCACAGAAATCATAAAAAAAAGCCTGACATATTATTCCCTTCTAGTTTCTTCAGGAAGTAGTGCAACTCCAGGAGGTAGCAGCACCCAGTTCCTAAATCCTTTTATTTAGCTGAAGGAAACAGATATCCAA